TTATTAAGAGAGAAATGGTTAAAATTATTAATAAGTTTGTCAGGTAAGAATCAAATTCTTAATTTTTTTACGAGAAATGTAAAAAATATGTATTGTTTTGCCCATTATAATTCTTAGTCAGTAAATTAAGAGAAATCTGAACTAAGCATTTATTGTAGGCGAAGCAGAATGTAAAATGCAAATGTTTGGTGGAGTACAGTTATATTGCAACATTAAAGCATTTCATCCCACTTTTGATACTTTACTTGTAGATGAAATTCAGCCGAATTATTCGAAAATGTTTAATAATACTATCATTAGATCCAGTGATATATTATCTATAGAATTCTACAATCTTAACTTACACAATTTACTTGCTGATAAATAATTCTGTAAACGTAATTTGATTTTATTTTAGTAGTATACATAATAATTATGTAACTATGGAGTCAATTAATTAATGTAATAAAAGTAATATAGTAAAATGTTTGTTATTTTACTGTCATCTAGTTAGTAATTTTCTATGGCCGAACCTTTCATAAAATCAAAGACCTTTTAATTACTGTTTATAAGTTACATTTATTTGAAAAGGAAAAATTTAAATTGGTTCAATGCAGACAAATATGTTCCATCAAAATGATTGTGTATGGCACCCTATCTACATTTTAATAATTAATCATTGTAAGTTTGTCATATATTAAAAAAGTTGAATTTTAGGTCAGTTAAATTTTTCCTAAAAGTTGAATTTAAAGTATACCACAATTAAACAAATTAATTCTAGAATACCTGCCACTTGTTGTCTTTCAGTTTTTGAAAGATGGATATGTATTAAACTGCATGCATGCCCAACATGGGGAGTAAATAGAATAATTTTAAGCTTGACCCTTTCTGAAATTAAATGTAGAGGGACAAGTTATTAATAATTTAAAAGTTCCTTACGATTTAAAAAGCTTCTGTCGGGCATGCTGTGATTTGGACAAACACTTGCTTCATATTACTGACCTGTGGCAAACATAATCCTTTTCTTTCTTGCTCCCAATTTTTATCTTTCCCCTTAATTTCACATAAAGCCATCGTATTTTTATTTAACTTCGTTCCACATTTGAAAATATGAAGTCAAATTACTAGCTGGGTAGATATCAATTAGCTACTTACACTTTCTGAATTTCTGAACTAAACAATTTAAATGCAAACTGATGCAAACCTATATGTTTCATAAACTGTTTTTCTTTCAACCGGTTGCATTTTTTTCTATGGTAATTGTACCCATAGATTACACCAATTATACTTACAATTTGGTACAAAGGGATTATGGAGGGTAGAGAAAAGGAGTGCTATTTCTGTTGTGAAAAAGTATCCGTCAGACCGCGTTAAATTAGGGTGGCGCTACAGTACCAACATGGTGAATTTCAAATAAAACGCCAAAAATTATTACAATTACAAATTACTGTGAACTACGTAAATAATTGATGTTTGGTATACTTGTATACTGGACTTATTTTTTATTAAATTTTCTAACTCGGCGTACTTCAATCCGTCAACAACTGCTACATTCTACCATACTTTTTGCCTACGCTAGCCCAATTTTGGAGGGTTTTTCAACTGTTATTTACTGCTTATAGCTGCGCACTTTCAACATTCCCTCCAAATGATGTTGTTATCATAATGTGAAACATATTTGAAAGCATCCTAATCTATGAAAGCATCAATTTAAAATCATAGATAAATTTAAAACAGTGGATTTCAAAAAATCAGAAGCGCAAAAAGTAGTTCGTGTAAAAGGCTCTTACTTAATCTATGAATATGACAACAAACATAGATTAAAGAAATATATAAATTTCTAATCTATGATAAACACAAATTTTCATTTGCCAGCCTTATCTATCTATGGCATTATCTATGTTTACCAGCTGAGCCAGCTTGAGGAAACCACTGATTTTCATTCATTAAGGGATTGTTATGTTCACGGTACTTAAGAGGAAAGTATTATTCGACAAATTGCAGAAAATATTCGTTGACAAAGTAATTGCTTTAGCAATTTTATTATTAATTTAAAAGTAATGGAATTATATCTAAATGAATAATTCATTATTATTTGTGATTCATTATCTGATCATAAGTCCCAACTGAGCCCAAATAATTGTAAATATAATATATTAAATACGCAAGTTTTGCTCTGACCTTTTAATTTATAATTTTAAAATAAATCTAATGCCCATGTGTTATGTATATATATTGCAGTTGCAAGTGAATGTGCATATTATGGAAAAAGAAGGTACCAGTAGTAAATGTGGAGCTACTGATTTAAATAAATTCAAAAATGTAATCAAACCTAAATTATCATCACAAAAAAGATTAAAAAGAGAGCATGTAAATATTGAATGTGATGAAAAATCACCTTCAAATGAAAATAATTTAAGTGAAGAAAAACAGACAATAAAGCAGAATTATAAAGTTCCTGATAATTGGGAGGAAGTTTTGAAAAATTTGCAAGAAATGCGTAAAAATCATGATGCACCTGTAGATTCAATGGGATGTCAAAAGTGTATGGATGGAAATGGTACCCCTAAGGTACTTTTTAGTAATAAAGAGGTCGAGATTTAAATATTTAACTAATATTTATTTATTGAAGGAAAAGCGCTATCAATCCTTATTATCCCTCATGTTGAGCAGTCAAACCAAAGATCAAGTTACACATGCAGCTATGATGCGTCTGATATCTCATGGATGTACTGTGGATAATATATTAAATACACCTGATGAGAAACTTGGTGAACTTATTTATCCTGTTGGATTTTGGAAAGTACTGTTTATAATTTTTGTTGTTACAGCCATTTTCTAAATGTCTTAACTTTTAGAGCAAAGTGAAGTACATAAAAAAGACCTCTGAAGTATTAAAAAACAAATTTAATGGTGACATTCCAAAAACACTAGAAGATCTTTGTTCTTTACCAGGGGTTGGACCTAAAATGGCCCATCTTTGTATGCAAATTGCATGGGGAACTGTAACAGGAATAGGTAAATACAAATTGCATTCACTGTTCATTCTATTTTAAAGGAACTATAAATCTATTATTTTACTGTCCCTCAATTTTGATTATTTAACAGCAGTCATAAAATACATTTAAAAACATGGGAGGGAGGGGTAGAGCTTAACGAGATGAAACAGGAGGGGTGAGGGGCCTTAGCAGTCGTGACAATCGGAATTCATCTCTTAAGCCTTAGACGAATTACAAATTGAAAGCTTAAAATGTACCTCATTAAAATTTAAGTTTTCATAAGAGCAAGGATGCATTGATAAGTAGTCATTAACTTTACTGAATTCGGTCTTACAATTGTGTGTAAATCATTCTGTAAAAAATTCTCTACAGAATCGTTTACAGTATCAACTTTATGAAATCTATAATGCAATTGTAAGCAGCGGATGACAAAAATTAATGAAAAATCATCAAACATCTCATTAGGTAAATTATTGGGTATTGAAAAAAAAAAAACGTGTAAGACCTAATATCGGTAAAATGAATTTTCACAGGATAAGTTGCATTACAAAGCGACGTGCTGTTCAAGACGGAGCCTTATCTTATTTCTCATTTTCTCGTCTTATCTTTGTCTTTTCAATCACCAACTGAATGCAGACGTATTGAATGGAGCGTACTTCTCACTTTGTAACTTTCGTTTAAAATTTTTCGTGGCATTCACGAAATTATTGCAACGCACATTTCTAGCGGTAAGATACACATTAATTTACAAAAATTTAATACATGCTAATTACCTAGTTAGATAGAGGTGATGCGCACATTAATACATATATGTAGGTACAATACAATAACAATTAAAATAAAGTTATAATGAAACAATTATGATATTCGTAAAATTTGATAAGACATGCTTTAAAATCTTAAACTCATTTTTGAAATTAATTGCTTTGATTATATTTTAAATATTTATATTGTTAAAATAAGCAAAACATTTGATTTTTGATATGCCCTACGACAATTTTGCCCTCTATAGGTGTAGACACCCATGTTCATCGAATTACTAATAGACTTAAATGGGTTAACACAAAAACTCCAGAAGAAACCAGAAAAGCATTAGAAAAATGGCTTCCTTTTGATCTTTGGAGTGAAGTGAATCATCTCCTTGTAGGCTTTGGTCAGCAAATTTGTTTGCCTGTTAGGCCTCAGTGTGAGACTTGTTTAAATAAAAGCCTGTGCCCATTTGGTAAGAATAATAATAATAATAAGAAAAAATAATACCTTTTTTGATTGTTACTCAAATACATATAAATACTTGGCTGTAGCTACGTTAATGGATAAGTAAACATGTACACATCTATTTCTCAATAAACTATTTAAATTACTCAAAAAATGTTAGAAAATAAGATGAATCGATAATAAACCTAAAAAACCTTTAATGAATATACAATATTTTACAAAATGTTACCTTTTGTGCTTAAATTTATTTTTTTTAATATCTTGTTTTCCCTTTTTATTTAACTTCAACTTTAATTTTTTTTGTTGTAATGCTTTCTTCTTTTGCTTCATCCTTTCAATGTTTCCTTTCTTTTGAAAGACTTTACTNGTACATTTACTTGCAAAACCAAACGCTGAAATTTTTATTTTATAATGTAATTTTAATATAACTCTAATTCAATTATATTTCCGTTGTTGAGTTTTTCCACATGTCCTTACAATTTTCACCAAAAGTCGTATATTTAGGCAGTGTTTATAATATTGATGCTAACTTTTATTACTTAAATTTCCCAAATTACACGATAATCCAAGTTTTATAATTCGACCTGTTTGATATCTATCTTTAACTTTATGTTAAAACTTACCAAAATTTCAGTTTTTAGCTCGTTTGTAACTTTTTCAGTCCATTCAGGGTTAGGATGTGGTAAAATGCAATTTATTAAATTAAAAATAGTAGCAAAAGTGTAAGTACTGAGTCTTAAGAAGAATTTTATAATTTCAACATATGGGTTTACCTGAAAGTAGAATTTTAGAGCAAACAGATTTGATTGATAAATAATAAATACCGGCGCCTCTTCATTAAGGTGTGAAAAGAAATTAGGATACAACTCTTTCAATACCCAAAATCTCCATATTATTCCCCCATATTTTAGGTTTTCCAGTTCCACCTTTTGGGGTGGATCAACAGAAACTCCTGTTAAATGTCCTATGACTCTACAAAATATGAAAATTAGTTTTCTTAATATTTTTGCTTTAACTGCTTTATAGCTATCACCTGTTCATGAGATCTTTCATATCAGCTCTTATAGGACTTACAAAAGGATCTTCAGGATCAATTACATAGTAAATACCAACTTTGGATATGTCAACTGGGTCTTCCAATTTCAACTGCATAGAATTTAACCCCACAAGAACTTTTAAGATTGGCCCCAGGTCTTCTGCTTTTTTAACAATTGGCCCAGGAACAACCATAGATATTTCTTTTCCTGTTCTAAATGTTAATCCTTAAAAAGAAACAGTACAATGTAGAAAACCATTCACTTACAAAACAAACATTCGCTATACCTTTTAATGAAATTAAATTACAAGTTGGTTTATGTCCAAAGACTCCACATTTAAAAGCTGGAATTCGGATGGATCCTCCAATATCAGTTCCTATCAAAATGAAAATTAATTTTTAAACAGACAATTTTGTCATTTAAACTTTTATATACCTATTGCCATGGGTGTGCCACAAGCTGCAACTAAAGCTGCATCTCCTCCAGAAGAACCTCCTACATTTCTAGATGTATTGTAAGGATTTTTTGTAATACCATATACAGGATTGTGAGTTTCCTGCCACATATTTAATTGGGGAACGTTTGAAACACCTTCAAATGGTGTAAAAATCAAATATTTTAATTTAAAAATAAGCTAATTAATAAGTACAGTACCTAAAAGAATAGCTCCAGCATTCTTCATAGACACTACAACATCAGCATCTTCTTTAGCAGTCTTGCCCTGTCTTGAAACAAGTCCAAATGTATTGCTAAGTCCTTTGCATGAGGTTGATTCCTTGACAATAAAGGGAACACCTAATGTACATTAAAATTTTAATAAAACTTAAAGAGAAACATATGGAATGTTTAAAAATTGTTACCTAAAAATGGTTTATTCATAAAATCAACCTCTGTAATTTTACCATTTTTAATATCTGTATCTATTTCTTGTGCCTCTTTTAATGCGGCTTTAAATCTATCATCGACTAGAGCATTTAAAAGGTAATTTACTTCTTTAATTCGATTAATAAATGCCTGAACAACTGTTTCAGCCTTCACTTCTTTCTTCCTTATCTTTTCTGCTAAACTTATTGCACTTTCCAATAACAGTGGATCTTGAACTTTTGGGATGTACTGAAGACTTGAATTGTAATACAGTCCAAATATATAATTAACAATTAAATCAAAATGATATCGAAACATAAACCAGGCCTTTAGTAAAAAACTCATTATTAATTTTCTGCAAGATCGTCCTCTACTCCGTTTCTCTTTCTACAATTGTTTACAAAATATGAATGGTCATAAATTATTACGATTATAAGAGTGATATCACGAAGTACGATGCGAATATAATCGTCAATAATAAAAAACTTACATGCTTGTTAGTTTTCTTTTCGTAAATTTTACGCTGACTCATTTTTTTATAGATATAGTGAATTGGCAATGAGTCTTTAAAATTGGTTTTATTCTTATAAAAATTTCTTTTAAATGAAAATAACTTGCTATTAAAATGTAAGGGGCACACTTAAAACTGTTTAATAGTGATCAGATAAAAATAATGAAATGCAAATTTTTATAAGTTAAGGTGAACTACGTTATGTTTTTTTGGAACTGCTTGGGACAGTTTGTTGGTCAACACAAGGTGAACCACCTGTTGGGACTTGCGACCGCTAGAAAAATGACCGGACCACCAACTACATCAGAAAATATAATGACGTTGTTGATGATGATGACCATACAAAAGACGTCCTGATGATAAATCATGAAAAATAATGAAAACACAAAAATTGTTTGAATTTTATAATACAATTGTTTATTTCTTAACAATTGAAAGTACTTTAACTCTACCAATATCACTAAAAACAATAGTGGAACGCATCCGATTGTAAAAGATTTCTATGGTCTAAAAGCAGTCATAGAAGTGCAAACAAGAAAGTATTATATATAATCTATGATTAGAAACCAAGATTGTTCAAAAACCTATGCCAGAGATATAAGCATAGGAAATATCGACGTTTACTAATGGACATGCCTTAGCGGTCAAAATTGTGGTACAACAAAAGAAAGAGATAGAACAAAGTTTCGGACAATATTCATCTCTCTCATGATAGTGCGTTGGTGTGTCATGAAAGAGATAGCACTAGTCCGAAACCATACGCCATCTCTCTATGATAGGAAATAAATAATCTATGGGACATAAGCAGATGTAACCTAAAACTTTTATCATACAAAAATTCACGTAAACTTGATAGTGTAATTGTATTAATATCGAGGAAAGACTTTGATTTGACTATGGGAAACTTTAATGGGAAAGTTGATGCAGCAGCAGTAGAAATTGAAAATTCTAAAGCAACTGTCACAAAACCAGAGGAACAACCCAAAAAGTTGAAGCCTTGCTGTGCTTGCCCAGAAACGAAAAAAGCGAGAGATGCATGGTAAGCATCTTAAAGAAGTTTGTACATAAATGCAGTAAAACATTAATTATTTGCAGCATTATTGAAAATGGAGAAGAAAATTGCACACATTTAATTGAAGCGCATAAAGAATGCATGAGGAAATTGGGTTTCAATATCTAAGTAAGGATGCCCATTTTACCGCCTTGTAAATATTGTAGTATTTAACGTTAGTTATGTATAGTAAAGGATAATATAAAATAAAGTTGTGTCTGTCTATGAAACTTTGATTTTAGTAGCAATTGCTGAATTCTAGAAAAAGCATACTTT